TTATACTCAGATACATATCATGTTGAGAACCTGTTATCCCCCTTTTACCGTATTGAGGTAGTAGTGGTAGGACTTGGAAGGCCGGCTCACTAATAAGAAATGAAAATCTGGCCACCAAAAGAGCGTGCTTAGTCATCCAAGATTTAGCTGCAATATCAACAGCGCCTCCGTACCGAACGTTATGTATCCGATATTGTCGCCGACCTTCGCGTCGGTGTTCTTCAGTTCCAGTGGTGCTTCTCCGTAAGTGAACAAGACTTGGGGAGCGGTCTGACTGCCTTTGCGACCCTGATTGAATTCCTAAACAACATTCTCTTCACACAATAAATTGAGAAAATTTTACCAGGAAAAAATGGGATTAAATCTCACCTGAGCATGTAACTTAACAGAAGATGAAAACCTTTATGATGATAGAATTTAGCAGCAGGAATGTTAAAAGAACAATATTTGACATATCACACTGCGTAGGAGCGGCATTTTGTAGAAAACAGTGTGGCTTACAAAAATTTTATTGACATTTAAGACTTTGTCAGGCTAGTAACAAATGGCGACAGTCATTTTCTGCTTATAGTAGTGATGATATGAATGCACAATTTTAGGTAACGTTATGACAGTTCCCAAATGTTGACCAGCGAAGGGGCAGAAAAAGCTGTCAATTACTCTTCCTTTCCCGATATAATTTTCTAAATGTACCATTCATTTAGTCCATGCTTCGTCACCTTCCATCTAGAAGGTAAGCGGCATGATAAAAAACGTATTTTCTTCCAAGAGTAATACGGACGGTGGTCCACAATTCCGGCATCCTCATGTGTTATCAGGGTAATCTTCAAATATGCAGATAGCGTGACGAACTCTGACAAACCCTGTTTACCACTTATCATTAACCTATCGTTACGGGATTTATAGCAGACCTTCACGCCTACGGTAGCTGCAACGGAACAGGCTCAGTCACGCGATTCAACATTTTCTTTATAATCCGCCTCGCCTTCCTTGTCATATGGACGAGCTCATAGAGCTGAAATCAGCTCAAGTTTAAGTTTAGTCATTATAACAGGCAAAAATATAGTTGGCTGCATTCAAATACAGTGTATAAAACAGTAAAGTGCTTGATAACTTAATGGCCGTTTTCTAGAACTGTGCTGAAGCTAATCTTTAGAACTTTTGCGCGGTCATTTTGTTTTGCATTCATCAATGCCCTAACAAAGTACTGTGATACGATTTAGCGGCTCTGATATTTATCAGTTCTAAACATTGGGCAAAACACGGTTGACGCTAAGCGGGACTTCTTTCACGCCAGGTACATGGAGCAAATGATGCATGCCAAATAGCTGAGTAGCAGCCGTTTCAATTTTTGAACATTATAATTGTTACCACGGTTTACCCAAATCTTCTG